TTAATTGTACACCTATTTTTAATTTTTGCACTTGTATATTTATGATATAAAAATTCTTGTAAGCATATTATTTTTAGTTTTCATTCCTGATTCCTGCTTATATATAAATATGATGCTAAAATGTTTTATCTTATTAAAAATTTAAGTTTCAAGGGATGAAAAATTTTCTAAAACTTAAAGTTTATTTATTCTCAAGTGTAATACGAATAAATTTGATTTTGATTTGAAAAAAAATGATTATATATGAAACATTAGGGAAGAAAAATTTTGAATATTGAAATGAGTGGGAGAATTTAGTTGAAACCTATAGTAATGAAGAAAAACTTAAAGTTAAAAATTTTTAGTATAGAAATGATAAATGTTGTGCAACTATATTTAGTAGGAGAAATTGTATTTTTGAAAAATATAAAAGGGTTAGACTTTTATTTTCAATGCTTAAATTTCTTTTATTAAAAATAATTTTCCAAATTATTATTATATTTTTAAGTAAAAGATTTATATCAGAACTTTGCTTTAGGAATGGAGGAGTGGAATTCAAAATTATTAAAGGTCTATCCAAATATAATAATTCTCACCTGAGAAAAAAAAAGAAGAAAAAAAAAGAAAGTTGAAGAAGGGAGGAGAAGCTTGAGGATTAGTGCTTAATAAAAAAAATTGGTTCCACATCTAATCTTTTTAAAGTATAAGACTTGAGAAACTCTTAAGCTTAAGGATATAATATATTAAGTATAATTATTCATAATAAAAATTTTTAAGTATAGAAAATAGAAAGCCTAAACTCTATATTTGAAAAATTTACAAATCTTTCTGAACTGGATAGAAACTCATATTGTCTGACTTCTTTACATTAAAAATTTCTAAATTCTAAGTTGGTCTCATGTATTGATGTTTTTTTTAAATTGGAATACTATATTTCTAGATCAAAATTTTAAATTATCCTAAAAAATTTTGAAGTTCCTTTGATTAATTCTCAACTCTCCTTACAATTTCATATCAAGGGACACACACACACACACATACACACACCAAAAGGCTCTCATAACTAACCAAGAGCCCCAATCCAACCTCCTAAGAAAAACACCTCCTTCTATTTTTCTTTTTCCAGACCCCTTTTAAATAAACCACAAATCCCCAAGAGTTATTTTAGATGTCCATTCGAAATCCATCCAAATTCAATGTATTTAGAAGAAAACTGATTCTCACGCCTAGGCGCCAGCCATCTAGAAGCTTGTATAACTGTCTGAGCCAAAGCGCAAGATCCTGGCGTCGGGCTCGTTGTTTCCACGTATGTGGTCTAATACACATAAAATATGTAGTCTTTATGTACACATTTTTACACCTATTTTTGAGATATTGTGCTTTAATGGAAGATATTTGTGTGTTTTCTTTTAGGTAGAATCAAATATATGAAAAATGGTGAAATGATCAAATTTGGAGCATAAATGAAGAAGATGTGCAAATGAACAGTGGTGCCTAAGCGCCCAGAACTGACGCTTAAGCGCCAGTAAAACTAAGAAGGTCGCGCCTAAGTACCAAGTACCTCGCGCTTAAGAGCTAGAAGTAGTTACTTGATGATTTAATGAATTTGGAAAAATTTTTGAATAGGTGTTTGAAGCAACCCATGGTGAAAATGTAGGAAATAGTTAATGGACGCAAAAATACATTTAATTGGCTTTTGAAAGGAGGCAACTCTTGGAAGATTCATTGAATGTGGACACGTTTTGAAGAGACACCAAGGCACCTTTGAAAAATTATAAAAGGACTTGAATTAGATTGAAGAGACCTCCACTCTTCCACACCACACAAACCGCCGCCCCCCTCTAGACACCATTGATGCCCCTCTCTCTTAGATTAATTAGAATACTTTTAGAGAGAAGAAGAGGAGATGAGTTGTAGTGCGTGAGTAGAGAGTATTGTAAGAGAAAGAAAGAGAAGATATTCAAAGGAACTTCAAGAGTTATTTTTTATTTTTGTGACTACATTTGATTTTAATTTAGACTTATTATTTGTTTGCGTGATTTCTACTTTCAAACTTAAGTGTGATAGTCTGTCTAGTACGTCATAAAACCTCTACTCATCTTTTGGCCTTTGCACAATGCACAATTTAAGCCCTAACTAGTTTTAGGCTTCGAGGTTGTCGTTCGTTACAACATAAACTTTTTTATCTTCCAAGCTATTTGTATGACTGCGTCATGCAAATGTAAGTCATAAATAATAAAATTTGCAGGATGAAAAATCAAATAACATTTTCTTAAGATTGAAGTCAAATAGTATGATAGCTTGAGAAGTCATTGAGGTTCCCCTCAGATCAGTGATCTCTTACCATTCATTCCTTTAAATTTCTAAAAATAATTGTTCATACTTGATCAATTCCCTTTTGAATTTTCAATGTCCAAACTTGAAAACTTAAATTTTGAAATTCTTGGAGGCAAAACCACTAATCTGAATTGAGAATATTCTTAAGCGACTTTGGTCATTTAAGATGTAATTAACTATATGGGTTTGCCTCTATAAGGAAATTTAGAACTCAACTTAATATAAACCCTATTTAATCTTTCATATTATACAGGAGAATTTATTGATCAACATAAAAAATTTCGTAGACCAAAATGGATGTAATAATTTCTATAGTTTATTTAATTGAGTTTCACTATCAAGTAATATGTTTATTCCTCGGGATAGGTACACCACTTTCGGAGTTGCGCCCGTTTATTTAAACTATTGCATATATGAGATCAGTCCGGTCTCATACTTTCAAAAATAAAGATATCACTTTTCAAAATTAAATATAAATATTAAATTAAATTAAAGGTATTTTTAAATCAATAACCTCCCTATGTTGGCGACCAACAAGGCAAAAATAGATCTATTTGCACTATCCCAAGGGATTCTAATGATTGTACTAAGAGAATATTAGTTATTTTCTTGGTTTTACTCAGCCACCATATCCATATGAACTACATAACCAACTTCTTGTCGATTAACGGTCCATAAGTCAGGGAAAAGGAATAAACAACACGAAAGCATTCAATAAACTACATATTTTGGACAAGTACATGACAACCCGCCCCAGATGTAAAAGTCTTTGGTGTAGCTATGATTAGATTCGAAAATCCATCGACATCTCCAAGCCTTGCCACCTTAAGTAAATTAATCCACTCTAACTCTAAGTGTTGTGTTCGAACTCAAAGACATGCAATAACTGACTCTAGTGTTTGGTTACATAGACATAACCCCTATCATAGTTTTAATCAATCAAGGAGTTAGCTCGTTGGAGCCAGTTTACCCATACAAGAAGACCAGCTTTGAAGGAAGGAACAAAAGATATCCTAATTAGTATGCAATAAGTTGAACTGAGAAAAAAAACTCGTCTAAAAGATTCACTTAAACTTAAATATGTTGTATTAAATGATTAATTTGCATAACCGACCTTGATTGGTCTAGAACTAATCAACCTAATCACATCGTGATGGTGCCACATGACCAAAACCAAACTTATTAGAGAGGTTGAATAAGATTAAACTATGTTCGGGGAATCTTTTCCAGTGTGCGACGAGTATACTAGATGAGAATAAGACATACCCACTCTAGATTTACTCACTTAATGGACTAATGGTTATAGGAGCGTCAGTCAACCTTATCACATTGTGATGGTGCCACATGGGGTGTGTTCCAACTTCCAATGGACTTGAAGAAGGTTCGAAACAACAGTACGATGGATTACTAAAAAAAGGGTTGAAAGTCATTTCTGATTTATTACTAACCCAAAGGGTTGACAACTAAATCATCTGTGACTGATCTGAAATCAACCGACCACATTGTGATGGAGCCACAAAGGGGCATACTCCAACTCCCGATGGATCAAGAGAGAACAACTTTCGGTATGTGATATAATAAGTGGAAAACACAATTAGCCTAAAGTATCAACCTCCCAAGCCAGCCTCAACTGACTAACGATCAATCAACCTGGTCACATCATATTGGTAACATAATGAACCTGAATAAGCGCAAAAAGTTGTGGAGTATATTATCATTTTAAAAGATTCATCCTGATTTTTTTCATTTGTTTTGATTCATTAGTTTGTTTCTATTTTGGTTTCAATTTGTTGATTTCAATTTCATATGGTTTGTTACATTACTTTCAATTTGATATTATTGATTTGACAAATTGTCTTATTCAAGGACAATCAATTTGATTTTGGTTTGATTTTAATTATCTTGGATGTGTTGAACATATTGTCTTATTTAAGGACAATCGATTTATTTTTAAATAGATTGTCTCATCCAATGATGATCAATTTGATTTTGGACAGATTGTCTCATTCAAGGACAATCAATTTGATTTAGATTTGATTTCAATCTGATTTGATCTGTTGGACGAATTCTATTATTGAAGCACAGTCGATTTAATTTTAAACAGATTATCTCATCTAAGGACAATCAATTTGATTTTAGCTACCCTATAGTATACTGCAGAGGGAATTACACCTTATTCAAGTAGTAAATAAGATCGTTTGAGGATAAAATCCTCAAGACTAAGAAGGATTTCATGTTTGTTCTTGAAGATTTCATTATTATCTGGATTTGTTTTTGAAGAGATTGTTTAGTTCGTTGGTTTGAGGGTTGTTAGTTTTATTTTTGAAATGTTTGATTTATTTTAAGATACTTCATAGATTTTGATTTCTCTTGTTTGGTTGTGAAAGATTCAAATTTTAACTCGTTAGAAGAGTTCTTTTAGATTTTTAAGTTGTAATTGGTAATAGGACAACTAATGGGAATTACACCTGGCTCAATCAAAAGTTTTTTTTTTTTTTTTTTTTTTCATTTTAAGTTTTGTCTGTATTTCAAGTTTTGGATTCAATGTCCATTTCAAAAATTCGGCTTAACGGATGTTTGAGATTAAAATATGATTTCGTTTAAGTTTAGCCTTAAAATTCAAAGTAAAGAGTATTCAAGTTTTTCTTTAGAGATTCAAGGATTCCATTTTTTTTAAAGCCTGCAAAATATGAAATCAAGAAAAATATGTATCAAATATGGTAAAACATAAGAGCTACAGACACTTTTGAAAATTGAGCCAAACGAGGTTCAGTAGTGGTCACCAGAGCTTCGCCAAATGAAACCAATCCAGCTTCTATCGAGATAATTGCAAGCAATTACACGCACCGGTTTGCATGTTATAAGCCTCCAACATATTGTTCGCCATATATTCCTTGTGAATGAGGCCCTCCAACAGATGAAGAAGATATGTTTCTGCCCCCAAAACCTGAAGATATGGTGCCCTGTCCAGGACAATCTCTAGCCCAGTGGCCAGTTTGTTTGCATTTAAAACACACATTTGAAGAATTTCCACCATCCATTGTGGAGATGGAAGACCAGTTTGGGAAGCCCCCGCTGCCACCGATGGACTGTGCTTCCCTGTTCAAGCTCCTGGGACAGTTCTGGAAATTGTGGCCAGACAAACCACAGTTATTACAGAAAGATAAGACTTTTCTACTCATATATTGGCTGGTAGTCTCCATTTTATAACGATCAAAACAAGTCATAGATTGTCTACCGGGATTAAGTTCAGCATAAGAATATTCAGAAGCAGGCATTGCAGCTCCAGAAGCATAGGATCCATGCATGGATGGAAATGGGGCCGCATGAGCATCTTCCCCAGAAAGTTTCTCAATTATACCCAAAAGAAATCTGCTCTCTGATGCAGAATTCACTCTTTCTGCTTTAATGGCAGCCGACTTCACTCGTTGTTCATCACTAAATGTTTCTTCTTTTACCTTCAATTTGAATAAAATATTGACTGAAGAGAACCCTCCTCACAATTTCAGCAAACTTCAGCTCATCCTGTTGTTCATACTTTAGAAAGTACAGTTCCTTCGCAGATATACCAAGAATTTGTTCACCACATTCTTGGAAAGCAATGACCCACGTAATACCAATGTGGTCCTGGATCTGAAACTGGAGTAGGTATCTATAGTCACATTCCGGAAAACTCTGATCACATCGATCACAATGCCATGTCCCATCACTATAGTTATTGACCTTTTGCTGCACTGTCTATCACTCACGACCAAAGGGCATGCTGTATAGCAGAAATTATCAACCTTGATGAATGATACTGTGGCCTTCACAGTTATCCAGTCAGGCTTCTCAGATCTTCCAAGACCTTCATCCTTAATCTGTGAAACTGTCTTTCGCACATCCATCCTTCCAGTTACTGCAGCTTCCCTGGATATAGAAAGAGCGGTATGATTCTTTCCCTCATTATCATACCATTGCTTTAACTGGAATGCCTCGGGGATATCAGGATCTATAAGAAGCTGGCTAGAGGAAATGGTTCCGATTGACTTTCCGCTAAAATCGCTGACTCGGCCTGCTTTTATAGCCAATACAGGAAATACGCCAGAGTCGCACATAGCTTGAATCTTCTGCCCTTCTGTGTTGCAAAAATTCAGAGTTATTTCAACCCTCTTTCCAGACATGTCCTTCAACTGAAGGGTTCTCTTGTGAGTTTCAGTACCATTCTTTCTCATTATTGTACCAGCAGGATTAATGAAGTGACTGTACCGATCACATCAACCATACTATTATTTTCCATAGACTCGATTTCTCCAATGGCTCTAAAGCTGAATTGCTGCCTTGGGATGGACATGCCTCAAGCAAGGCTGGATTGTTGAAGCGGACTCCAACATGATTTCATATTCATTATTGAGATGGTTGAAACTCTTTTGAATTGGTCTCAAGGTACCTTTGGAAATCAAATAAATTAGTCCTACCTCTATCTGATAAAATAGAACTGGCCGGCTACCGCGTTGAATTTCTCCACCGTCGGAGTCAATGAGATCAAAAGAAAACACTTTTCCTTCACCCCTTGCAATGTTGTAGTGCCTGATGTCTGCCTTAGCTGTCACCCGAGCTTTCAAGGAGATCAAAAGAAAACACTTTTCCTTCAACCCTTGCATTGTTGTAGTGCCTGATGTCTGCCTTAGCTGTCACCCGAGCTTTGATCGTCAACTTTCCTTGGTAAGGATTCAATGCGGCAATGGGAATTATTCTAGTTGGGGCTTCGTTCTTAGAAATAGGACTTCTATTAGTATACATAGGAGGAGGATGCTGATACGTAACCCTACCAGGAGGTTGAAATCCTTCATTTGATGGACCTGAGAACCTCTTTTGCTGCATACTAGCAATTTGGTTTGATTCTGCAAAACACATAGAAGCAGATTCAGCTTTAGGGTGCAAGGAATTTGTGTTATTCATGTTCCTCATTGGAATAGAACCGCCTGCAAAGGAGCCACCATAAGATTGATTGTTTACAGCTGACTCTTGTCTGGGAAATGAAGCATCTGAAATGGCATGTTGGCCAGCATCAGGACCATTTGCTCGAGAACTACCATGATGTTGAACATTTTCTATGGATATACCAGGTTGGTTTATGCTAGATGGCTGTCCAGAACCAGCAGCACGGTTTTGTGGGATAGGGTTGCCAGAATCAAAATTTTTTGGATCCCCAATCATATCGGCCTTCTCAACCAAAACTTGCAGGCTGATTATAATGATGATCCTCCGACTTTGGATAGTGTTGCAGATAAATTCGCTCAGTTGAACAACGGATCCTTTCTGCAGCTGTCCAGACTTGAAAATCCCGTCCATCTGTCTCGCAAGCATCCCCTGCTTATGGTGTACGCCGTCAGAAAGAAGCATCCGGTACCTCTCCGCCGAGCTCTGTTGGGTATTTATCAGATCTCCACTATTTGAAGAACATGTTATTCAGGTATTATTGTAGTACGAGAATATTTTCAGTATTATAATAACATAATTACACATCAATAACATTTGAATAACACATAATAACACATTAATAACACAATAACACCTGAATAACACGAGAGGAATATTCCTTTATATTACCGGACAGTTTTTTTTTCTGTCAACGTCACGTGGCGTGATTTCATTGGACTCCACACATAATTTTATGTGAGGAGTCCTGATGCAGTACTTTTTCAGGAAGAAGAGGTGAGAAACGCAGAGGCGCGATTGTTTAAAACCCTAGAAAGTGAGAGGAACCGCCATTTTTTTTTTTTTTGCCTTTGAGAGTGATTTGCCTCTAGATTTAGAGAACCCATGATTATTGGATTAATGTTAAGTCTTTAAAGTAGGTTTTGTCAAATGACACATCATTCCCTTGAGGGCCAAAAAGAGTCAAATCTTGGAGATTTTGCTATATGGACAGACCCAGTGTTAAAAGTAGTAACCAATGAGCAACGTTTTTGTTTTTACTTTGATAAGATTGCAACTAAGCATTTTTATGTTTCAAATTTTGTGATTTAGTCTACTTATACCCCATGTTTTCATCATTCCAAAACTGTCTTAGTCAAGCAACCCAAAGATTCATGTCGTAGCTCGCTAATATTTGAATCAACATTTTAAGGCCAAAAAAATATAAATTCTATTAAGGGATCAACACACAATATACTTATCATTCTCCAACATCAATGACATGTTTTGAATAAGCATTACGTATTCGATCTCTAAAGATAAACATTATAGAGCTTTTTTCGTATCATTATGTATTTTAAGTTTAGAGATTCTCAATTTTGATATATAGTCATAACAGTTATTACAAGTTTCTCCATCATTTAAAAATACCTTTGACAAGTTTATTGGCTTAATTTTCACTTCAAAAGAAAAATCCAAAAATTATAGTCCCCCTTTAAGTTGATTGATTTCAGCTCAATTTAACGTTAACACATTTTCCTTCAAGAAATTTCATAGTTTTGGAATAACTCGATTTTGAATTTTGAGATTAAATTCAAAATTCCACTAGAATTGAGCAGGAGGACGCGTTTCTCTTTCACATTTTTGCTCCAAATATTGTATGGTGGTAAGGTAATTTTAATTTCAAACTTTTACAAAATGGTTTCAAGATGGAAAAGTTGGAATATGTAAAATAATTTAGATTTAAACTTTGGACACCCTCAGACCATGTCTTTATTGATATCTATCTTCAAAGATATATGTGTTATTTTCTGATTGGCGGACTGATCAAGAACTGATCCCTTTATTTTCTCTTTTCTTATTTTTCTTCTCTCTCATTTTTTTCCCTTCAATAGGATTCCTACTCTAGACCAGCCCTCAGTGCAACACTCGTCATCCGGGCTGGAAACATTGTAGATACTCTGCTCTTTGGGTTTGGTGATATAATTTTTGTAGTTGGTGTTTCTTCATACTTTACAATTTTCCATTATTCCTTCATCTACTCATAGGTTTATTAAAGTGTATAATTGACAAAATAGTGGCTGAAGATTATTATCTTTTTATGATGAGATTTTTTATTTTCCTTTGATCATATATATCTATGAAGAATATTATCTTAATTTCAATGTCCCCTCAAGAGGGTCTCAAAAATTATTTTTAAATTATGGTTTATTTCATTCTAGTTTAAGAATGATATGATATGTGGATGGAGAGATTTAATGTTGAATGATTTTAAGATATCTTGATTGAACCACATATACAAGAATGTAAAATGAGCAATTGGATCAAACTTCATAAGTAATTTTTTATATCAAAGGATTATGATTCCCAAAATTTACCTTAAAAAAAAGTTGTCACAATTTTATGAGCTAAATCATTATGTTTGACCTTAATTATTTACGTAAAGAAACTATTCATAAAGATTTAGGTTCTCCATATATATATATATATATAATATATATATATATCAACTTCTCTCTTATGTGATAAGATGTTTATCGTGACAAATTATGATATGTTCTATGACGAGAAAATTGGTGACAAATTTTTTAAAAAATAGCGTCATAGGGAGCTTCTCCTTTTTCAGGTGTAAGTGTTATGAGGGTTATTTCCAATGAGATTTGAGTTCAACATAACTCATGAGACAAGTTCTTATGTTCGTCGTCAAGGAGGTTTGAATGTCATCTCAGGTAAGTGGTTACCCTTATGTTGAGGAATATTTTTTCAGATAATCACAAAGTTAAAGAAAACTAAGGAGCAAAATTTTATTACATTAATGCTTGGTGACAATCTTATCCTACAAAAATCAAAGTACTAACATCAATTATATGCAATTAACAACATTTTAACACAATTTGATGATCAAGTCATCAAAGTTCAAACTAGTATGAGGCTCAAAAGAAATATCAAAGACATATTTTTACGAGTGAATTACAAATAGGATGTCGATAATTGTTTCGTTTGTATTTTAACTTTATAAGAGGTCTTGGATAGAAGTACATTCTATTCTTCTTCTTTTGCTTAGAAGTTAAGCAATTTCATATCTTCAATAAAGACAACACATACAGAGCTTTGTGTTGGCTCTCTAAGATATTCTCTTATTATTTTTCCATTCTTGTGTTTCTCTTCCATCCAATCTTTGAAAGTGAAACATTTTTCAATTGTGTGGCTGAGCATTCTATGAAACAAATAGTAGTTAGTATCTGCATCCTTTTTCTTTTCTTAAGGTTTGCGAGGTTCGGGGAGTTTGAAGCTTGGATATTGAGATGGGTTCTTGAACATCTCTTTGATGGTTTCATTTCTGAAAGGATAATCATGGTTCTTCCTTTCCTCAAATGTTGGTTCACATTTCATTTGTATTTTATACTTATGTTGTTATTGAAATTGTTGTTGTTTTTATTGTGGCATAAGTTTCTTTTTAGTCCCAACATCTTGACAGTGTGCAGATACTGATATCAAAGTTGGGTATTGACTAACTGAAATAAGATTCATAATTTCTTCTATCTTATCTTTCAACTTCATTATATGTTCATCTTTCTATCATAGTTGATTTAGAAGATGTGTGACTACTGATATTGGGATTAAATCATGATTCACCTAGATATCATTAATAAATTCATCATGCCTTTTCTCCAATCTTTCTATTTGTTTATCTTGTCATCTTAGTTGATCTAAAGTTGTTGACTTGTGTTTGGCAGAACAACTTCTTCAACTTGTAATTTACCATTCTCTTATTGTATTATGAGTGAAGCCTAGTCTTAATCATCATGATGGTGGCAGACTCTTTAAAAGCCTTAAAAGTTTCTTCTTTTTCATTGAGAGCTTTGATGCTAGCTTCACACAAGATTTATTCAATGAGCTTAACTTTGACATTCTTCAAATAAATTGGGAAGCGTTTGAAGAATGGCATTTTCCTTTAATATAGATGGAAAGGAAGAGTGTTGATAAGAAGCATTCACTTGAATCTAATGAATTGAAGGTTAAAATTATTTGAAAAGGAGCTCAATCAAAGGAGTAAAGATTGGACCCTATTCACAAAGTAAACAAGAAAATGGTTTATATTATTCAATTTGAATTTTGAGTTTCATTTTATTTTAAATAGATTCAGTTTTAAATGTTTTCCAAATTGTAGTTTAAAATTTTGAACATTGTTTCAAATTTACTCTTAGAAAGTTTTAAATTAGAAAATTCATTTTAAGTGGAAATTAGTAAAGTAAGAGCCAGACCTTAATTATGAAATAAGGAGGCTCTAAATTAAATTAAGGTGCAAAATCACATGCAAAGAGGCTGAAAAGGAAGGTCCAACTCATTAAACGAGGTTTAAAATGGAGGGTCAGGAACAAAGTTAAGGATATAGGGTGAGACCCATAATCCAGGCAAAATTGCTGGACCCATTGAAAGTCCAAAGATAAGAGTCTGAATTTTTAAAGGGTACAAATGCTAATGATGAATAATAACTCGACATATTACAAAAGATGGAGAGAAAACCAATTCTTGAGCGGAGTCGCCATAAACAAGAATATAGTGGAAAATTTTTATTGGCCAACACCATAGTGCCTTTTTGAAGACATTCTACCTTGATGGCCAGACACGACAATTTAATCCTCTAGAAGATGGAGAATATTATGATAGAAATGGGACTAACTATCTGGATGATGAAAGTCTTCATTCAGTCTACAAAACTAGGGATTTTCCCTTTTGTTATGGGTGTAAGAAAATTTTTATTTTAATTTTAGGTTCTTTCTTCCTACAGAGGCAAGTCCTCGTAGTTATTTACATCCTTAAGGTCATGAACCCTAAAGAAAACTCTTGATTAATGTAATAAGTCAAATTACAGAATGATTTAATGGATTTAAGTTCAAAGGGGTAGAAAATTTTGATTATTTGATAAAGAAAGCTTGAAATTCAAGGAGAGATATTTTAAAAGGTTTCAAAGTATTAAAATGATATTATTTAAACTAACTGGATAGGGTTTAAAGGATAAATCATGGACATTTGAAGTTTGAAATGTTTGAAATTATGCTTTAACGGGGTAAATATGGTTTAAAAAGATGAATCGATGACATTTAAAATGATAGACATGAATTAATCAGAAACCATATACTATATAGTAAGTTTGGAAACATTTCTAGATGGAAAGTTGAACCTAAACTCCATAAAGAAGCCTAATAGGTGGACTAACCTAAACATTGAGAAGGATTTACCCGAGGCAAGATGCGCATGACTTTCCTTCCTTGTGGAAAAATTGGTATCTATCAATTATAATCAGCCTCATAGCCAAAAATCCCCTTTAAATTTTGTAGCTCAGGGGATATGTAGTCTTGAGGAGGTTCGAAATACCTTCGTTAGTAACCATGGGTTATATCTTTCTAAGGTATTCCCTTTAGTCTCCGAGGGTAGCTTTAGATGTTTTATATGTATTAATACTTAATTCT